ACATCTACATAAATATACCAACATAAAATTGTTTTAAATAGTAACCAAGCAGACTCAGAATGGGCTCTTAATTATAATACTTTTCATATAAATTTAGATACTAACTTAAGTCACAGCCGCGCATCGTTTTAGTAACAAACGACTTTCAGTGTGTCTCGGGTGTACTGACGGTTCCATACAACAATATGAAAATAATCTTCTTTTACAAAGTCTCCAAATATTTCTAAACAAATCTACGTAAATACAAACAGGAAAATGGAAAAATATAATAGATAACTTGACGAAAAATGTTCTCATTGGTACGTACGCTTAAGTTGATTTTTAGTAAAAAGTAGTCGAGCTGATGGTCTTGGTATAAACTCCCTGCCGCAGTTTCCATCACGAGTTCCATCCAAAGCCGCGGGCAACTTAATGGGAACCCGGGGCTCTGGCTCAATGCAGAAGTAGGAACGGGCTGGTTTTTAGTCAGTAGATAATCGTCTGACACTACCTTTCGCATCAAAGAAGGCGGGACAAGTCATTGGATGATTTTCTTCCCTCAAAGAAATGCTTATCATATCGTAATACAACATGTGTCCATCTTTCTTAGACAAGTTTCTTAACTATTATGGTTGTTTTAATTCAAGTTTTCTTCTAACTTGCCGAACTAGGGGAAAGGTTGATCTCTGCACTAGGTTTTCTAAACTGGAATGGCTAGTTATGCCCTTTAGTATTAAACGTGACTGTTTAAAGCAAAATTTTCTCTCAAAGATACTGTGAATATCCTGTTAAAATGCCTTGTGTATACCTTGTATATTTTTGCCAGTTACCCTAATAATATCGTCGCCGGAGGTTTATGTAAGACGCCCGCTTCTCATGTATGAGGGTGTGGATACGAAATTCTACCAAGGGCAAGTACCAATGTGACGTTTTATATTCTATGATTACTTAGACACCACTTAAAAACGGTGAAGAAGGACATCGTGAGGAAACCTGGGCTTTCAATTGAGCAAGCGTGGTGATTAATGCTTAAACCTACTCCGTGTGACCAGAGGTTTAGCTCAGCAGTGGGCATTTATGGGTATTGATGACGTGATGAAGGTGTTAAATGATATGCTACTTTGAATAGAAGTAAATGTTGTACTTAATATGACTGAAAATATTTTCAATAGATCATGCTACAAAGCAATAAGTAGCAACAAAGCTGTGTTGTCTGATGTTAAACACTCGCTGTACCTTAAGTATACCTGAAATACCAGAGCAGTAGTTGTTGACCGTCCGACCGTAGTTGTTTGACGATGTTTTGGAGCACCCCATAATTAAACTCGTGATGGAAACTGCGGCAGCCAGTTCATACCAAGACCGTCAGCTCGACTACATTTTACTAAAAATCAACTTAGACGGACGTCCCGATGTTTTTTCGAACAGTTTTCGTCAAGTTATCTAGTTTATTTTTCCAGTTTCGGTTTGTATTTACGTAGATTTATTTCGAAGTATTTGGATACTGTGTAAAAGAAGATTATTACCGTATTAATTGTTTGAAGTCGTCAGTACACCCGAGATACACAGAAAGGCGGTTATTACTTAAACAATGCGCGACTGTGAATGTTGCAATTAGAGAAATATCTACATTTCTTTTTGTACTTCAAATGTAATAATAGACAATCGTGGTCACAGATGATATGCATCAATATTAACAACGAATAAATCTGTTTTTTAAGTAAATATATTCATAATTGTTGATTTTCATACTGTTCTGTTGTTCGTGAAAGTTAATGATGCCTCTTTAGGTACTAATTAATGCAGTAAATGTATATTTAAAAAAATGAAATCTTAGCTCTGAGTGCATACAAATTCAAACTGATAGCCTAATATGAACCCAAAGAAAGTGCCAATTAATAATTCTGTGTTCATAATTATGTATTCAGGTTGTGTGTGATATTTTTTGTATATTTATTAATGAATTCTGTTGTGTGGCAGTACACACCACCATTGCTAATAAAAATAGAAGATCTATTTTGTGGTTATCGCAAACCTTTTTTATATTTTCAATTAATTTGAGTTGATAATGTAATGTGAAGATATTTAAATGATTAGCATAATATACAACATAACATCACGCCTTTTATCCCCGAAGGGGTAGGCAGAGGTGCACATAGAAGTAACACCCACTTTTCACTATTTATGTTATGAGTCCCATGTAATAGGGGGTGAGCCTATTGCCATATACCGGGCACATTTCCAGACTCCGTGCTACTACTGAGAGTTTTAAAAAGCCCCAGTAATACTTTGCCTGACCCGGGAATCGAACCCGAGACCCCTTGCCCGGCAGTCGCACTTGCAACCACTCGGCCAATGAGGCAGTCATGCATATAACATAATATAATCCTGATTTAATAATAATTTTATGGACAGCATCAACTTACCTCCACGATATACGTAATACCTATAAATGCAATTCATTTATAATCAAATACTTCATGACCTTATTTGTTATGCTGTCAGAATACACAAAGTACCCATAAACAAAATTTTAAGAAATTGCAAGTCAAAAGTCTAAACTCGAAAATTCAAACACGTTCCAAATCGTTCTTAATAACCGAATCGAAATTAGTGTAACGATTAATCGATAAAACGAGAAACGATGATCTTAGAACTCTCACTTTCTTAGGGAGAGGTCGCCACTGACCAAGTATTTTGAAAGTGAAACTGCAGGGAACGGGAATTCGCGTGAACACGGTTCTCGATTCTACCATCGTTGAATTACGATTCATTTCTCGATTAATCGGTTTTGAAAAAGGAAGAAGTAATATTTCGGATGTTTATTTATTCATGTACACTGTGTAGTGTACCGGTTACTATGAAGTTTCTGGGTCAGTTTTTTTTTTGTTTTTTGGTAAATGTGGCCCTCGGCGTGGGCCCTCGAAATTTACTTAATTGGCTGCAGATATCGTGTTTTGATTTACATTACAGTTAGCTGGTAAAATTACCTTAACAACCAAAAGATTAAAAGGCTTTAATTAGAGTAATTAGGCCGTGAACTAATGTATTTTTAACCCTAATTTAGTAAAGAATTTGGTAGTTTTTTTAATTTATTTCAGCCCTCCTGTAGGAGAATACAAGGCATAATGTATTATGACGGAATTGTTTGATTATCTGTTTACATTGAGGTAAAATTTACTTACTAACTTACTCATATTTATAATGATAATGAGAAGATAAAATGTTTTACCATTATTTTTACCATAGATATAATAATATTTCTGTGATTTTTACAGAAAATTTTCTTCATACATCGACAGTGAGTTATATATAAAACAAATTTTAGCTTTACAGTCCATTCATGTACTCGGACAGTACTCGTAACAAAGTTTGCGTGATTGAATGAACATACATACTTACGAAGTTGCGTTTATTGATGCAAGTATCAATTACGTCGGTAATAAAAACAAACATGTTTCATATCGGATTCCGTTTGTAGGTAATATTTATGTGTCGAAAACTAAATTAATTTTGATATGATTATCATTTATTAAGGATGCATTTGTAAAATGAATTTGAAGTCTTGTGTGTGGATTAACCTTTCATTGCATTTCATGCAAGATACTAAAACATGGAAATATGGCATAATTTCAGTTGTCATTCAGTAATGAGATATTAATTAAATTCTAGATCCATGATAAAATTTTCTAAAAAATATTCTCTTTTATAGGAGGATTATATTTATGTGTCGAAAACTGAATTAATTTCGATAATCAATTATGGTCTTTTAATCCTAGCAATTACTAGAACAATGAGAAAGACTAATTAGGTATTAAGTATGTTTTTCGGCTTACTCATGTAATTACATATAATACGAGGAAGTCGATTGTCGCGCTGCTACAGTCGACAGTCGCCGAGTGATGGGTCACGGAATGCTGCTCACGAATATGAGCCTCTAGTGTGTCTTGAAACTAGTCGAGTTTCTCGTGAAATAATTTCGTGAGTAAACCGAAAAACATTATAATTTATTGAGTATGTCTCACGAAAGTTATAGCCTCGTTATAACATACCTAAACGAAGAAGATATTTAAATCTTCTATACTTATAATAAATCTGTAGAGAGGTCAATTCTGTACATACAATATATTTAAAAAATAACTATCAAGGGGTGGTTAGGGATCGCTACTGATGCCAAAAATGCAATCAGTAAAATTTTTGTCTGTCTGTCTGTCTGTCTGTATGTTCGTTATGGAAAAAAACTACTCGATGGATTTTAACGAAATTTGGCACAATTATTCTTCATACTCTTGGGCAGGTTATAGTATACTTTTCATTACGCTACGATCAAAAGGAGCAGAGCAGTGAAGGGAAATATTGGGAAAACGGGAGAAGTTACTCCATTTTTTAAGCTTCCGTCGCGTGTGCAGGCTTATAGGTTAAAGCTGCATAGAAATCATGTATGACGGAAATATTCTCCTTAAAATTATATAAAAAATATTCCTCGACGGCATATGTCTATCTTTTATGGTTGACTCACAATAACACGTGAAACTCCCGATAGCTTAGCAATTCGGTGATTTCTGATTGTATTTGTCTACTCTAACGTTTACAATACTCATTCATAGACTTTACGCTGTAACTGAAAGGCCAATGATTGAAATTAGGTTGACTCGATATTAAAAATGAAAATATGTGAGTTTATGTGTATGTTTGTTACTCAGTCATATTAAAACCACTGAAGGGACCGGAATGAAATTCGGAACAGAGGTATATTATGGTCTGAAGTGATACATAGGCATTTTACCCCTGGGAACGCGGGCGAAGCCGCTGGCAGAAACTAGTCTTTAGAATAAATTATTAAGGATGCATTTGCAAAATGAATTTGAAGTCATGTGTATGGACTAAACTTTTATTGCATTTCATACAAGATATGAAAACATGGAAAATTGGCATCATTGCAGTTGTCATTTAGTAATGATGAGATATAATTAAATTCTAGATCCATGATAAAAGTTTCTAAAAAATATTCTCTTTTACAGGAGGATATTCAGTAGAACATATAGACAAAGTGTGTCTGTCTTTGCGAGCCGAATATGGGAACTGTGTGAAGGTGACTGGTCTGCTTGGAAGACCTGATATGCTGTTCGTCTTCGATGCCAGTGAAGTGGAAAGGGTATTCAGGGGTGAAGACGCGGCACCTCATAGGTAAGAAGTTATTAGTCTGTAGGCAACTCTGTTGTTGTTAAAACCTCCTTTGTGGCGCGATAAGAAAATTTGTGGTAACGTAATGAATTCGAATTCGCGCTAAAATTCAAAATTCGAAGCTCCCCCCACGCCCCGCTCGAGTGGGCTCCGCGCTCCAACAGTCGCCGCCGAAACGTTGAGTGAGTCAGCCTGTTTGAAAACACTTCGCGTTCCCGCCAATTTGCTCACTTTTTGGATTCGTTGTGGAAACATCCAGCCATATAATCTGTTACATAGTAATATTTAGGCTTTATTGATGTGCAAAATTAAGTGTCATTGTATTGAAAAAATGAGTACCTATGTTAGCTAAGAGCAGCAGTGTCAACTCAACGGATGGTTGAATTATTGGATAATTAATACATGTATTTTTAATTTCTTACAGAAACGAATACTTTCGACGATATACTAATTTGAAATGTCCCGTGACGTCACTTATGTGTACATTTTATACGTAGAAATGACGTTTTAGTCCCCACTCCTAAACTTTGATTCGTTTTAGCTAAGTATTATTTTATATTTGTATATACGACAAAATAAAAAAATACGTGTCTAATATTTTTCATTACCTTACTTACGGACTAATTATATTTTGAATTTTCATACCCTATCATCATCCCTATTGCGTCATTGATTTTATTTACAGGGAAACCTCATTTGTTTAAAAAAATCTTGTTTATTTTTTTTTTATACTTTCAGACCATCAATGCCTTCTTTGAACTATTACAAACACACCTTGAGGAAAGACTTCTTCGGCGCTGAAGAAAATTGTGCTGGTGTCATTGCAGTGTAAGTTATCATTACTATCATAATATTATACATTGTTATTGAAGAAAAATAAACTAGTATCATGACTATGTTCTAACTAACCTAAAATGTCATAGAAAAATTAATTAAATTACCAAATTAGTTTAGATCAATATGTGCTCACAATTATTCTGTTTTCGTATTATAATTCTATTTATACATGTGTATTTAAAGGTGTATTACGTAGACTTCGTAACATTTAAGGCATTGAATCGTAACATTTTACTTTTTTATGAATATTATAGATAATACTAATAACTTAAAATCTAGTGAATTTTGAAAAGTCACGTACCCAAAATTGATGTTATACTGCATACAATATATTTCAAAAATGACATAAAAAACAGATAATGTGAATATTTTCTTTTCAGTCATGGTGATTCCTGGTCTGCCTTCCGAACCAAAGTATCTCGGGTGGCGTTGAGCGCTGGCGCAGCAGCTCAGTACACGGTACCTGTCTCTGAAGTAGCTGATGCCTTTGTCCAAAGGTAACACAATACAGATATAGAAAATTTTAATGAAATGATATTGATGTTTTACATCTTTTTTATGGAATAAGCTGGTAAATGAGCAGACGAATTACCTGGTGGTAAGCAATCGGCGTCGCCCTTGAACACCCAACACACCAGCAGTGTTACAAGTGCGTTACCGGCCTTCTGGGGATAAGGAATTTGAGGATTATTGGGGATTCGGGGTTTGGGAGGACTGGGGAGGGGCCTCCGGTAATCTCACTCACACGAAACAGAACGCAAGTGTTGTTTCACGTTAGTTTTCTGTGAGGCAGTGGTATCGCTCCGGTCGAGCCGGCAGATTCGTGCCGAAGCATGGCTTTCCCACACTTAAAATTACCAATTTAATTCCGCATTCTCAGAAGAGGACTCTTTAATAATGATTTAGTAAACTTATTTGAGATAAATGAGATATTATTTTGAAGTACTTTGTCCACGTGCTAGATGGTTAGACGGTATGTGAAAATCAAGTATGTAATGCCTTTCAAATGGTTTTCAGAGTACGACAAATAAGGGATGATAATTTTGAAACCCCGGGCGATTTCCTGAATGAAGTCCACAAATGGTCTTTGGAGTGTGAGTATTATGATTTAAACACTTTATGAAATAACATTCATAATAATAAAAAAAACTGCAACTCCTAATTCCCTGTCATTATTGAGAATACTTCGAAAAATAGAAAAAAACTTCTCTAATACTTTGCTCGAGCCGGGAATTTAACCTTTTTCTGGATCGTCACGGTTTTTTGATTCAGGAACCTTTTCTTGACCGTCACGGTTTTTCAACCAACCACGAAGTCAGTCATGGTCAACCAATAGCAACAAGTTAATTATAAATTCGTCTAATTATGCCGTTGAAAAAGAAAGTGTATGGGTGTGGGTACATTGCTCGCAAAATTGATGGTTAATGGGCGGCGACGGCGAAATTCAGAATGGCGACCACGTAGAATATTCTGGGATATTTGATACACAATGATTGCTAACACTTGGGTAGTATAACGACATTTAGCAGAAACAGATTACAGAAAACTTGCATAAATTATTGTTTGTATGGGAATAATAGATAATGTGGGAATAATTAGGTACCAGTAATTTAGTAATTTGACTTCACGATTGGCGCGGTAGCTGGGCAACTGGCTGTAACGTGTCGCAGGTTCGATTCCCGCACGGAACAATTCTTTGTGTGATCCACAGATTGTTGTTCCGGGTATCGGTGTCATGTGTATGTGAACTTGTATGTTTGTAAACGCACCCACGACACAGGAGAAAATCCGACTGTGGGGCAAAGTTTTATTTTTAAAAAAATTAAGAAATACTGCCAAATCTCCTAAAATGGGTCGCTCTAGTATAGAATAAAATTAACTGAAAAAGATGTCTTTTACTAAGGCACTAGGTACTTATTTACGTTATCACCATACAGGGCCTCTTAGAAAAAGGTCTATCTATAAAAATATTGATCAATAAACTCCCTATTTTTTCAGCTTTGGGACTAATAGCTCTGGACACAAGACTAAACTGTTTTGACGCGTCAGAAGACTCAGAGAGTATGCGCCTGATCCACGCCGTACAGACTTTCTTCCTAAGTGTAGGTCAGCTCGAACTGCGCGCCCCCTGGTGGAGGTTATACCCAACTAAGATGTTCAGACAATATGTTGAGGCTTTGGACACAATCCTTAGGTAAGTAAGACCCGAAGATGAGGTTTCTAAAAGAAGTACCGATGAAATGTATGACAAGGGCACGGACCAAGAGTACGCGGAGAATTAATATTTAATATTGAAAAAAAGAAAGATGCTTTAAAAGTCTTTTATGATTCGAGTTCTGAGTTAGAACTGTGTAGCGGTAGAGATGAAGTTTCTTAAGATAATGTACTTAGATACACTTATGTAATCAAACTTATGGTGATTTTAGAACTATATTTTTTTTAACGTCGCAAGTGACTATTTAACCGATAAGCATGAGACATGTCTGTAATGAAATGTATCTTTGTCGCTCACCAGCGTAACTCTCAATCACGTGGAGAAGGCGCTAAAGGAATGCGAAGCTAATGGAAGCAGCAAGTCACTGCTGCAGGACCTGGTCGCAGCAGCTGGGCCAAGAGTGGCAGCGGTAGCAGCACTAGACCTGTTCCTAGTAGGAATTGACACAGTGAGTCAACGCACACATATTATTATATGATCAAAAATTTTTATGGAGTGAAAAAATGCAAATCGTAATAATGCCAATTGCCAATAGCCAAATGTGTCGTGTGGCCCGGAGCGAGGTTTAAGACGCCCACTTCTCATGCATGAGGGTGCGGGTTCGAAACCTACCAACAGCAAGTACCAATGTGACTTTTTTCGAGTTATATGTACTTTCTAAGATTATTCAGACACCATAGACAAACGGTGAAGGAAAACATCGTAAGGAAACCTAGGCTTATAATTTCTAATTATAAGTTTGAAATCACCAACCCGCATTGAGCAAGCGTGGTGATTAATGCTCAAAACTTCTCCGTGTGAGAAGAGGCTGATGATGAATCGCCGAATCCCCAATTTTTAAATTTCAGAACCCTTAAAAGGCAAGCATCTTGAGACTTCTCTAGTATTGCGGGTCTCCACGGATCACACTGATTGCTTATCATCATTTTGTTTGGTCGTTTGCTTCTCTTACACATTATAAATAAAACCTATTCGCTCAAATGTAGAGATTTGCTATGGTACTAAATACTTGTATTATTATCTTTATTTCCATGTATTATAAAAGAAAAACAAAATCACAAATTGACACGTCTTACATGAATTTAAGTTAAACAAGTGGTCACTTGTTTAGTAGGCACGGTCGTGCCTGATATAAATATTAGAGCAACCTGACGGTTTAAAAGAATACGAGTTTGTCAGGCGCACATTCATTTAAATGATGTTCAACATCACGGACTTTATTTTCAGTTATGTGATAATTTTACTGATTACCACACCATTTAGGACATCTTTGCATTGTTCTCACATATACGCACAGTATTGGAATATATATCAGAGACATTGTGGAACATACTTTTTTAAAAAGAGTAACGAATAGTGTTTCTTTCTCGTTCTTCTCCATTCGATCTACATTTTGGAATGAGCACCTAGCTTCACTGACGGATTGACTGACAGACTATTATTTATTTTGTATTTATTGACGTTCCAAAAGTACCAAATTATGGTTTAATTGAAATAAATGCTTTGACTTTGACTACCTAATATTACCTATTTTGACTTGCAGACATTTTTAGGACTTTCGTGTACTAATGAATGTGCAGTGCATAATGTATCTGTAAATAAATGCATGTATCATCAAGAAATGTTTTTTTCCCTTACAGACATCAAATGCAGTAGCTTCAATTCTATACCAGCTATCTCTAAGGCCGTCGGTACAAGAGCGGTTGTACGAAGAAGTTAGCAAAGTTCTTCAGGGTAGACCAATGAAGCCAGGAGATGTTAATCAGATGCCGTATCTGAAGGCATGTGTTAAAGAAGTTATGAGGTGAGTTTTTTCTTTATATTTGATGTGCCGACTATTGGCCAATATCTCGCCTGGTGGTAAGGTATGATGCGGTCTACGATGGAGCATTGAGCACGTCTGTGCATAAGCATCCTACTCGGGCCTTGAAGACACCCAGGTTATACCCTTCAGGGGACACAGACTCTCGCAAAGAATTCTATCCCTTGGAAGTACGCACAAGGAAGTTTGAACCCACTCGAACCCCACCCACTCGCACGAAGAGCTTCGTGCGAGTGGGACATCCACCATGAATCGGTGACGCTTCGCCGATTGTCTTGTGGTACGATGATGGAAAGGACTAAAAGTAGTGTACCTTTTTTACAATACCACCTATTGTCTATTGGTAGCAACAAAGTTTATGGCCTGCCTTGCAGACTTGTAACACCGCCCAGGGGCGTCACAAATGCTTTGGGGTATCAGAAATTATTCAATTGCGCCGTTGAAGGAAGACGGCTTCTGGGATGAGGTATTATTGTCATTTTTTGGTATGAATTTGTGGCTGTTGTACTGTTCCTTATTGGGACAGAACTCATAATATGTCGTGTAAACGAAAAGTTACGGAACGAAAATGCAGATAATATTTATAGCCGTTTTCTTTTTGTGTTACTATTATTACGTAAAACACAAAAATTAATTCCTTACATTTTTTAATAATGCCTCGTTGGCCGAGGTATCACAAGTGCGACTGCCGGGCAAGAGGTCCCGGGTTCGATTCCCGGGTCGGGCAAAATATTACTGGGTTTTTTCAAAAAATCTCAGTAGTAGCACGGAGTCTGGAATTGCGCCCGGTAAATGGCAATAGTCTCACCCCCTATTACATGGGACTCATAGCATAAATAGTGAAAAGTGATTGTTTCATTGTACAATGGCATTAAGAGCAGTAATGTACACCTCTGTCTACCACTTCGGGGATAAAAGCCGTTATTTAGGTTATGTTATGTTATTTTTTTAATAAAACTCGTTTTTTCTATCACCTGTCTGCGTTCGAAAGCGTTCCGTTTACACCTACCTACATAATTACAGACCCAATGAAAAAAATAGGTTTATAATGTTGTTAAATCTTTTCAGGATGTACCCTGTTGTCATTGGTAATGGAAGGCAACTGACTAAGGATACTGTCATTTGTGGATACAATATACCTAAGGGGGTAAGACATTTATTAATAATGTTTAATTTTTAAAGTTTATGCAGAGCTGTGTTTTGCTAACATCGAGGTATTCACCTCATCAATAAAGCCAGCTGATACCTACTATACAAGATAGAAATTCAGACCTTGGATTGTGTATAAAAAGAAATTAATTTAGGCCTTTGATAGGTAGAATCTGCATTTTTGAGACTACACAAATAAGCAATCAATTTAAGCAATGTTAATAATCCATAGGACACTAATCACTAGCTGCTTAGATCTTTAAAACTACACAGTGGATTTTGATACGGTTTTTTTAATAGAGTAATTCTTAAGAAAGGTTGATATGTATAATACATGCATATTGTATATAATATATAATATATTATTATAAGTAAACGAACTCAACGACCATTTTTCTTCTAAATTTCGCAGACTCAAGTAATATTCCAACATTACGTGATGGGGAATAGTGACGACTACTTCTCCAATGCGTCAGAGTTTAAACCAGAGAGGTGGATGACCAGGTCTCCGGCACAGAAACACCACGCCTTCGCCTCCCTACCATTCGGCTACGGCAAACGAATGTGTCTTGGTAGAAGATTCGCCGAGTTGGAAATACATACAGTAATTTGTAAAGTAAGTATTAAGTAAAGACAAAATAATCTTAATTTCAATCATGATGATTAAGAAAGGGGTGATTTTTAGTCAATAAGAATTTGACATTCTCACCCAGAGTGGAAGAAGTCATTTGAGGATTTTTTCCCTTCAAAAAAGACCATCTAGACATTAATTCAATGCTAGCTAAGGAGGAGGCGGGACGCGTGAGGCAGCGAAGCGCTGCCTCCTCGCAACCCAGCCATCGCGAACGGACATCGGAAGGACACTCCGGGCGTCGGGGATTGCGGACGATCTCCGGCCACCGTAAGCGCGGGCCTGCGGACCAGAACAAGACTCAAGCTTACGGCGGGTCGCGTCCCCCGCGCTCCTCAAAGAGCCATTAGACCACCACAGATGGGGGCCAATAGGGCGATTCGGAGTCGCAGAGAACGAACAGAGAAGTGCAGGAGAAGGAATGGGGTGGAAAAGACATAATTTCAGAAAAAGTTTTTAAATATGTTCAATTGTCCACTGTTTTGGGAATGTGTTACGTTTAAATATTTTTAAAATTAGACATTTTCGCCAGTGAACTTTTTGCGTCCGAACAACGAAATTAATATATTTAGTCTCAACACCACATTAAATAGGAACTAAAATAGAATTCAATTTTTTATTTTCCAGATGATACAAGCCTTCAAAATGGAGTATCACCACGAACCAATGGATTACCACATTCATCCAATGTACACACCGAATGGACCTATCAGAATAAAAATGACGGATCGGTAGATCTACTACTTGTATGTTACTTAGTTTTAGCATCGTAATGATCTAGGAATGCTAAAAGCAAGCTAGATTAAAAGCTCAATTATTTAGTTGCAATAAAATTGTATTAAAACTCTTCTGGTACATTTTAATTTAACTGTGCTTAACGCGCGGTAGTTGGCAGTCGAAAACTTCATCAGCGCCCTCTGGTGTGTCGTGCAATGCTGCTCATGAATATGAGCCCCAACGTGGCACGAAACGATTTGAGTTGCCTCGTAAAACAGTTACGTGAAAAAACCGTTAAACGCAATTATATTTTTTTGTGTTATAGTTTTATTAAATTTGTTGTAATACAATGGGTTTCTTATCTGTCCTAGGGCAGATTAGGATGATAAAAAACATTGTGTCTGTATATTTTTATTCACATTCTATTTCGTAGGATTAATTTATTACTGTATACTCAAAACTAAACTTAATTTGTTTATTAGTATATTCGGAGTCGCGGAGAACCTAACGGGGTTACTGGGGTTCCGGCTCGAAGCGCAGGAGAAGGAACGGGGTGGTTTTTAGTCAGTAAGAGTCTGACAGTCCCTCCAGCCTCACCCAAGCGGGAGCAGTGATTCGATGATTTTCGCCCCTTAAAAAAAGTTTATTAGTATGTATGACATGACTTTCAGGTGATCTTGTGTTCATTAATCTGTCAAACACCGAGCGGTCACCGGTGACCGCGACCTATTGTTCTTTAATTGTGTCTATAAAACCGGTACTCGACGAGTTAAGTTACCATTTTAATGTAACATATTATGTAAATATTGTTATTTGTGTTTCAAATTTATCCTTGGGCGATAATAATGTTGTGTTTTGTAAATAAAATGTATTACAATATTATTTTTGTTTTAGTGGTAGCCATTATCCACGTTACTTATTTCCGTGTTTACCCATAAGATCCCCAGTGTCCTTACAGTGACGAGGCAAAACAAAGGTGTATTTAATGTTTCTTTCTCGTCAATTCTACATACTACATTGTAATTCATTGGACCAAATATCGACTACAGTTTATAATTGTTTTATAATAACTATCATGAGGCATACTAAATAAAATAAAATCGCGGCTTACTCACGTGAATATACTGAGAAAAGCTCTACTAGTTTCGAGCCACAAGGGGGTTCTTCCTCATGAGCTGCGTGCGCGGTCGCGGCGATGTCGCGCAGCTCACGGGCACGCAGCGTGGTTCGAAACTAGTAGAGCTTTTCTCAGTATATTCAAGTGAGTAACCCGCGATTTTAGTTAACAGTTTTTAACTCTCACAATTTGAAACTATACTCAGAATTTTGAAAACCAAATATCTGAACTATACTTTACCCAGCTCAGATATCGAGTCCAACACTTAGGCATGTCTCTAATCTGGAGAACTATCTGGAGAACTAAAAAGGGAATAGGCAGAATAAAATAAAACAATATTTTTTGACATTCATAGAATGTTTTACTTAGATTGACTCGACAAGCAATCTTAGGTACTAACATTACAAAATCATTGAATATAATGTACCATGAGTACACTCTGTTTTAAGAAACATATCATGTTCATCAGTTTTTCGAAAATTGGTGTCGTTTACAATGAATTCAATGTGACACAGAATGTACTCAAGTCATCTTACATTTATATTAATACACACTATATATTAAATTCAAATGGCCACATCAGCATACTGTAACAATATGTATTTACACGAAAAAATATCACAAATGAGTATATTATTTATTTCTTTATAAAAAAATGAGTAATTTTTGAAAAACATGCAGAATTTCAGAACATTATATAAGAATGTTATACATACAAATATTGACTAGCGATATAATATACATTATAGATTGAGGACGCATCGAAGGAGACACTATATTGTATTATATGGCACTATTTTATATAGTGATAAAATAGGCATGCCTAGCGCATGAAGTATTAAGATAAAGCTTATAAGGCAGTGACGTCACATTACAAAAATCGAATTATATTATTCATATTTAGCAGCCATTATTAAACATCGAGAACTGGAATGAATCAAGTAGATAGTAAAAATTAAAAATTAAAATATCACATTATTAATATTTAACACGACAGTTATTTACATATCAACAAGGGCTTTGCGCAGTTGAATTTACAAACGCAGTTCTTAGTTTATTGTTTTTGTTATTTTTGTACATATAAATGGCAAGTGTGATTGACATAATCATGATTACAGCTGATCCCATGGCAATGTATATGATGGCAGTGCCACTTGTTGCAAACGTTGCACTTTCGCTGCTACCACTTATGTCACGAACTTTTCTTGACCTTGGTTCTGTTCGCTTGGAATCGAACGAATCTGTGAATTAGAAATAAAATATTAAATGACATCTCAATGTACAACAAAGCGTTTATTAATACAACAATAAGAGTGTAAATTACAGAAAAGTTATAATGATGAAAATATTGTTTTCTCTAACTCCCCATTATAATGTGTATTCACTTTGCTTATGTATGAAACCTAGTCAAATCGAGAATGCATTCTTAAATGGAAGAAATATTATTAAAAATGTACTAATGTGATTAGGTACAAACAATACAAACATTTTTTTTTTATTTTACGTACCTATATAATCGTTGAACTTGTCTTCATCAATGTCCTTTGGTGCTAATCTGCTGATCCTAGAAGACTTGATTTCATTTTCTTCTGGGAATGGAGGCAAATAAGTTGAAGGTGGGTTAGTGCTAGCTGGAGCAAACGGCTGTGGGCACTTTGGATCCCTAGATCCTGGATAACAAGAGCTGGGGGTTGAAGGCTCCGGTTTGGGACACCTTGGATCAGTTGATCCAGGGTAGCAACGTGGTGGCGCAGGAGTTGTTGGCTTAGGACATCTGGGGTCAGTCGATCCGGGATAGCAACGTGGAGGCTCAGGGGTCGTAGGCTTGGGACATCTGGGGTCAGTCGATCCGGGATAGCAACGCGGTGGCTCAGGAGTCGTTGGCTTGGGACATCTGGGGTCAGTCGATCCAGGGTAGCAACGTGGTGGCTCAGGGGTCGTAGGCTTGGGACATCTGGGGTCAGTCGATCCGGGATAGCAACGCGGTGGCTCAGGAGTCGTTGGCTTGGGACATCTGGGGTCAGTCGATCCAGGGTAGCAACGTGGTGGCTCAGGAGTCGTAGGCTTGGGACACCTGGGGTCAGTGCTACCTGGGAAACATCTGGGAGGTGCTGGAGTTGTTGGTTTAGGGCAACGAGGATCTTGGCTTCCGGGGAAGCAATTTGGTGGAGCGGGTGTTGTTGGCTTAGGGCAACGTGGGTCAGTGTTACCAGGGTAACAGTTAGGAGGTGCTGGTGTTGTAGGTTTAGGGCATCTAGGATCTGTGCTACCGGGGAAACATCTCGGAGGAGGTTGGGTGGTCGGTTGTGGACACCTAGGGTCAGTTGAACCTGGATAGCATTTAAATCCAGGCGTTACCGGTGGTAAATATGTTGGAGGTGTTAATGTTGTCGGTCGTGGTGGCTGTGGACATCTAGGATCAGGTGAACCTGGGTAGCATCGAGGAGGTTCAGGGGTCGTTGGCTTGGGGCACCTAGGGTCACTTGATCCAGGGAAGCAACGTGGTGGTTCAGGTGTTGTTGGTTTGGGACATCTAGGGTCACTTGAGCCAGGGAAGCAGCGTGGAGGCTCAGGAGTCGTTGGTTTGGGGCATCTGGGGTCGTTAGAGCCAGGGAAGCAGCGGGGTGGCTCAGGAGTCGTTGGTTTGGGGCATCTGGGGTCGTTAGAGCCAGGGAAGCAGCGTGGTGGCTCAGGAGTCGTTGGTTTGGGGCACCTTGGATCAATTGAGCCTGGGAAACAGCGTGGTGGCTCAGGAGTCGTTGGTTTGGGGCATCTTGGGTCAGTAGAGCCAGGGAAGCAGCGTGGTGGCTCAGGAGTCGTTGGTTTGGGGCATCTTGGGTCAGTGGAGCCAGGGAAGCAGCGTGGAGGTTCAGGAGTCGTTGGTTTGGGGCATCTGGGGTCATTAGAGCCAGGGAAGCAGCGTGGTGGCTCAGGAGTTGTTGGTTTGGGGCATCTTGGGTCAGTGGAACCTGGGAAGCAGCGTGGTGGCTCAGGAGTCGTTGGTTTGGGACACCTTGGGTCAGTAGAGCCAGGGAAACAGCGTGGTGGCTCAGGAGTTGTCGGCTTCGGGCATCTTGGGTCAGTTGAACCGGGGAAGCATTTGAGTGCCGGTGTCACTGGTGGCAAATAAGTGGGAGGAGTTAAAGTTGTTGGACGTGGAGGTTGGGGACATTTAGGATCCGGAGAACCTGGGTAGCAGACTGGTTTGGGTGTAGTTGGTTTGGGGCATCTTGGGTCGGTGCTACCTGGGAAGCATCTGGGTGGAGCTGGTGTTGTTGGTTTAGGGCAACGTGGGTCAGTATTTCCAGGGTAACAGTTTGGTGGTGCTGGGGTCGTTGGTTTAGGACACCTAGGATCAGTGGAACCTGGGAAGCAGCGTGGTGGTTCAGGAGTCGTTGGTTTGGGGCATCTTGGGTCAGTGCTACCTGGGAAGCAGCGTGGTGGAGCAGGAGTCGTTGGCTTTGGACACCTAGGGTCAGTTGAGCCAGGGAAGCAGCGTGGTGGCTCAGGAGTTGTTGGCTTTGGACATCTGGGGTCAGTGGAACCTGGGTAACACCTTGGTGGAGCAGGCGTCGTTGGTTTAGGACAACGAGGATCAGTGTTTCCTGGGTAACAGTTAGGAGGTGCTGGTGTAGTAGGTTTCGGGCACCTGGGGTCTGTATTACCAGGATAACAATTAGGAGGGGCAGGTGTTGTGGGTTTGGGGCATCTGGGATCAGTAGAACCAGGGAAGCATTTGAGTGCTGGTGTTACTGGTGGTAAATAAGTGGGAGGAGTTAAGGTTGTTGGTCGTGGAGGTTGGGGACACTTAGGGTCCGGAGAACCTGGGTAGCAGACTGGTTTGGGTGGTGTTGGAGTAGTTGGTTTGGGGCATCTTGGGTCGGTGCTACCTGGGAAGCATCTGGGTGGAGCTGGTGTTGTTGGTTTAGGGCAACGCGGGTCAGTATTTCCGGGGTAACAGTTTGGTGGTGCTGGCGTTGTTGGTTTAGGACACCTAGGATCAGTAGAACCTGGGAAGCAGCGTGGTGGTTCAGGAGTCGTTGGTTTCGGACATCTTGGGTCAGTTGAACCAGGGAAACACCTTGGTGGGGCAGGAGTCGTAGGTTTAGGACAACGGGGGTCATTGTTTCCAGGGTAACAATTTGGAGGTGCTGGGGTCGTGGGTTTGGGGCATCTGGGATCAGTTGATCCTGGGAAACAGCGAGGTGGCTCAGGAGTCGTCGGCTTAGGACACCTGGGGTCGGTACTGCCTGGGAAGCACCTTGGTGGAGCAGGTGTCGTTGGTTTAGGACAACGCGGGTCTGTACTTCCAGGGAAACATTTTGGAGGAGCGGGTGTTGTCGGTTGCGGACATCTAAGGTCTGTTGAACCTGGATAACATTTAAATTCCGGGGTAACTGGTGGCAAATATGTTGGAGGTGTTAAAGTTGTAGGTCGTGGTGGCTGTGGACATCTGGGATCGGGCGAACCTGGGTAGCATCGCGGAGGTTCAGGAGTGGTTGGCTTGGGGCATCTGGGGTCATTTGAACCTGGGAAGCAGCGTGGTGGAGCAGGAGTCGTTGGCTTTGGACACCTCGGGTCAGTTGAGCCAGGGAAGCAGCGTGGTGGAGCAGGAGTCGTTGGTTTTGGACACCTAGGGTCAGTTGAGCCAGGGAAGCAGCGTGGTGGCTCAGGAGTTGTTGGTTTTGGACATCTGGGGTCAGTGGAGCCTGGGTAACACCTTGGTGGAGCAGGCGTCGTTGGTTTAGGACAACGAGGATCAGTGTTTCCTGGGTAACAGTTAGGAGGTGCTGGTGTAGTAGGTTTCGGGCACCTGGGGTCTGTATTACCAGGATAACAATTAGGAGGGGCAGGAGTTGTGGGTTTGGGGCATCTGGGATCAGTAGAACCAGGGAAGCATTTGAGTGCTGGTGTTACTGGTGGTAAATAAGTGGGAGGAGTTAAGGTTGTTGGTCGTGGAGGTTGGGGACACTTAGGGTCCGGAGAACCTGGGTAGCAGACTGGTTTAGGTGGTGTTGGAGTAGTTGGTTTGGGGCATCTTGGGTCGGTGCTACCTGGGAAGCATCTTGGTGGAGCTGGTGTTGTTGGTTTGGGACAACGTGGGTCAGTGTTTCCGGGGTAACAGTTTGGTGGTGCTGGCGTTGTTGGTTTAGGACACCTAGGATCAGTTGATCCTGGGAAGCAGCGTGGTGGCTCAGGAGTCGTTGGTTTAGGACAACGGGGGTCATTGTTTCCAGGGTAACAATTCGGAGGTGCTGGTGTAGTAGGTTTGGGGCATCTGGGATCAGTTGATCCTGGGAAGCACCGCGGTGGTTCCGGAGTCGTAGGCCTTGGGCATCTTGGGTCAGTGCTACCTGGGAAGCATCTGGGAGGTGCAGGAGTCGTTGGTTTGGGACAACGCGGATCAGTGTTTCCAGGATAACAGTTTGGAGGTGCTGGGGTTGTTGGTTTAGGGCACCTAGGATCTGTTGAACCTGGGAAGCAGCGTGGTGGCTCAGGAGTCGTTGGTTTTGGACATCTTGGGTCAGTTGAGCCAGGGAAGCACCTTGGTGGGGCAGGAGTCGTTGGCTTGGGACAACGTGGATCAGTGTTTCCAGGGTAACAATTTGGTGGTGCAGGCGTAGTGGGCTTGGGGCATCTAGGATCAGAGCTGCCTGGGAAGCAGTTGGGAGGCGCTGGAGTTGTAGGTTTTGGGCAACGCGGATCAGTGGATCCAGGGAAGCACCGTGGGGGTTCAGGAGTCGTTGGCTTAGGACATCTAGGATCAGTAGAACCGGGATAACATTTAAGTGCCGGTGTCACAGGTGGTAAATAAGTGGGGGGAGTTAAGGTTGTTGGGCGTGGTGGTTGTGGACATTTAGGGTCTGGAGAACCCGGGTAGCAGACTGGTTTGGGTGTGGTAGGTTTGGGACACCTTGGGTCATTTGATCCAGGGAAGCAACGTGGAGGTTCCGGAGTGGTTGGCTTAGGACACCTAGGGTCGGTACTGCCCGGGAAGCACCTCGGTGGAGCAGGTGTCGTTGGTTTGGGACAACGCGGGTCAGTGTTTCCAGGATAACAGTTTGGAGGTGCTGGGGTTGTTGGTTTAGGGCATCTAGGATCTGTTGAACCTGGGAAGCAGCGTGGTGGCTCAGGAGTCGTTGGTTTGGGACATCTTGGGTCGGTTGAACCAGGGAAGCATTTTGGTGGAGCAGGGGTTGTTGGTTTTGGACAACGCGGATCGTTGTTTCCAGGGTAACAGTTTGGCGGTGCAGGCGTGGTAGGCTTCGGACACCTGGGGTCACTTGAGCCAGGGAAGCAACGAGGTGGTTCAGGTGTCGTTGGCTTAGGACATCTTGGGTCAGTTGAGCCTGGGAAGCACCGTGGTGGGGCGGGGGTAGTTGGTTTTGGACAACGTGGGTCGGTATTTCCAGGGAAACAATTTGGTGGTGCAGGCGTGGTCGGCTTAGGACACCTGGGATCAGTTGATCCTGGGAAGCACCGTGGTGGTTCAGGTGTCGTTGGCTTAGGGCATCTAGGGTCAGTCGAACCTGGGTAACATTTGAGGGCCGGTGTCACTGGTGGTAAATAAGTGGGAGGAGTTAAGGTTGTTGGTCGTGGTGGTTGGGGACATTTTGGATCCGGAGAACCCGGGTAGCAGACTGGTTTGGGTGTTGTAGGTTTGGGACACCTTGGGTCATTTGATCCAGGGAAGCAACGTGGAGGTTCCGGAGTGGTTGGCTTAGGACACCTAGGGTCAGTACTGCCTGGGAAGCACCTCGGTGGAGCAGGTGTCGTTGGTTTGGGACAACGCGGGTCAGTGTTTCCGGGGTAACAGTTTGGAGGTGCTGGGGTTGTTGGTTTAGGGCACCTAGGATCTGTTGAACCTGGGAAGCAGCGTGGTGGCTCAGGAGTCGTTGGTTTTGGACATCTTGGGTCAGTTGAACCTGGGAAGCACCTTGGTGGGGCAGGAGTCGTTGGCTTGGGACAACGTGGATCAGTATTTCCAGGGTAACAATTTGGTGGTGCAGGCGTAGTGGGCTTGGGGCATCTAGGATCAGTGCTGCCTGGGAAGCAGTTTGGAGGCGCTGGAGTTGTAGGTTTTGGGCAACGCGGATCAGTGGACCCAGGGAAGCACCGTGGGGGTTCAGGAGTCGTTGGCTTAGGACATCTAGGATCAGTAGAACCGGGATAACATTTAAGTGCCGGTGTCACAGGTGGTAAATAAGTGGGGGGAGTTAAGGTTGTTGGGCGTGGTGGTTGTGGACATTTAGGGTCTGGAGAACCCGGGTAACAGACTGGTTTGGGTGTGGTAGGTTTGGGACACCTTGGGTCATTTGATCCAGGGAAGCAACGTGGAGGTTCCGGAGTGGTTGGCTTAGGACACCTAGGGTCGTTACTGCCCGGGAAGCACCTCGGTGGAGCAGGTGTCGTTGGTTTGGGACAACGTGGGTCAGTGTTTCCAGGATAACAGTTTGGAGGTGCTGGGGTTGTTGGTTTTGGGCATCTAGGATCTGTTGAACCTGGGAAGCAGCGTGGTGGCTCAGGAGTCGTTGGTTTGGGACATCTTGGGTCGGTTGAACCAGGGAAGCATTTTGGTGGAGCAGGGGTTGTTGGTTTTGGACAACGCGGATCGTTGTTTCCAGGGTAACAGTTTGGCGGTGCAGGCGTGGTAGGCTTGGGACACCTGGGGTCACTTGATCCAGGGAAGCAACGAGGTGGTTCAGGTGTCGTAGGTTTAGGACATCTTGGGTCAGTTGAGCCTGGGAAGCACCGTGGTGGGGCGGGGGTTGTTGGTTTTGGACAACGTGGGTCGGTATTTCCAGGGAAACAATTTGGTGGTGCAGGCGTGGTCGGCTTAGGACACCTGGGGTCAGTTGATCCTGGGAAGCACCGTGGTGGTTCAGGTGTCGTTGGCTTAGGGCATCTAGGGTCAGTCGAACCTGGGTAACATTTGAGGGCCGGTGTCACTGGCGGTAAATAAGTGGGAGGAGTTAAGGTTGTTGGTCGTGGTGGTTGGGGACATTTTGGATCCGGAGAACCCGGGTAGCAGACTGGTTTGGGTGTTGTAGGTTTGGGACACCTTGGGTCATTTGATCCAGGGTAGCAACGTGGAGGTTCCGGAGTGGTTGGCTTAGGACACCTAGGGTCGGTACTGCCTGGGAAGCACCTTGGTGGAGCAGGTGTCGTTGGTTTGGGACAACGCGGGTCAGTGTTTCCGGGGTAACAGTTTGGAGGTGCTGGGGTTGTTGGTTTAGGGCACCTAGGATCTGTTGAACCTGGGAAGCAGCGTGGTGGCTCAGGAGTCGTTGGTTTGGGACATCTTGGATCAGTTGAGCCTGGGAAGCAGCGTGGAGGCTCAGGAGTTGTTGGTTTGGGACAACGCGGGTCCGTGTTTCCAGGGTAACAGTTAGGAGGTGCTGGTGTTGTTGGTTTCGGGCATCTGGGATCTGTACTGCCAGGGAAACATCTTGGAGGAGCTGGGGTAGTTGGTTGTGGACACCTTGGGTCCGATGAACCTGGATAGCATTTAAATTCAGGCGTTACTGGTGGTAAATATGTAGGTGGCGTTAAAGTTGTAGGTCGAGGAGGCTGTGGACATCTAGGATCAGGTGAACCCGGGTAGCATCGAGGAGGTTCAGGGGTCGTTGGCTTGGGACATCTGGGGTCAGCTGAGCCAGGGAAACAGCGTGGTGGCTCAGGCGTCGTTGGTTTGGGGCACCTTGGGTCAGTGGAGCCAGGGAAGCAGCGTGGAGGCTCAGGAGTCGTTGGTTTGGGGCATCTGGGGTCGTTAGAGCCAGGGAAGCAGCGTGGTGGCTCAGGAGTCGTTGGTTTGGGGCATCTGGGGTCGTTAGAGCCAGGGAAGCAGCGTGGTGGCTCAGGAGTCGTTGGTTTGGGGCATCTTGGGTCAGTGGAGCCAGGGAAGCAGCGTGGAGGTTCAGGAGTCGTTGGTTTGGGGCATCTGGGGTCATTAGAGCCAGGGAAGCAGCGTGGTGGCTCAGGAGTCGTTGGTTTGGGGCACCTTGGATCAATTGAGCCTGGGAAACAGCGTGGTGGCTCAGGAGTCGTTGGTTTGGGACACCTTGGGTCAGTAGAGCCAGGGAAACATCGTGGTGGCTCAGGAGTTGTCGGTTTCGGGCATCTAGGGTCAGTTGAACCAGGGAAGCAGCGTGGTGGCTCTGGAGTTGTCGGAGGCAAATAAGTAGGGGGATTACGTGTAGTCGGCTTTGGAGGTTGTGGGCATCTAGGATCAGGTGAGCCTGGGTAACAAACTGGTTTAACAGTTGTAGGTGATGGGCACCGTGGGTCGGTGCTGCCTGGATAACAGTTTGGTGTCGTTGGTGTTGGCTGTTGAGGACATCTGGGATCAAGTGAGCCAGGGTAACACTTTAATTGTGGTTCAACTGTGATACGTTGACATCCAGGATCACGTGATCCAGGGTAACATTGTGATGGTCTGATCGTTGTAGAAATTTCCGTGATGACTCCATCGCAGTTTGAGTCGCAGTTGTTTGTGCATAACTGTAATAAATTACAAATGATAGTTGTTACACATTGTTTTTATTGATGTAATATAAAATTGTACTAAAGTTAGTAATCATATTAATTAATTATAGGCATGATGAAAATATTTACCTCGACGTTACAAGTTAAGTAAACTTGATCGGTTTCAGGGAATCGGAAAGCGCTCACTTTGCTGTAAGCAATTAATGTGGCACCGCTCTTGCCTGTGTTCGTAGTCTTTTGCCAGAGATCAATCAGCTTCCTCTTCCTGTAATTGAAACACCAGCTTTTAAAGATATTGCGTGACTAAGAAGACGTTAAGATAAATTGTGCTTTTCTGATGTAGTACTCTTTCTATGTCGTGGTGGCCCGGAGGTTTAAGACGCCCACTTCTCATGCATGAGGGTGCGGGTTCGAAACCTACCAACGGCAAGTACCAATGTGACTTTTTCCGAGTTATATGTACTTTCTGAGATATTTAGACACCACTGACAAACGGTGAAGGAAAAACATCGTGAGGAAACCTGGACTTATAATTTCTAATTATAAGTTTGAAATCGCCAACCCGCATTGAGCAAGCGTGGTGATTAATGCTCTAACCTTCTCCGTGTGAGAAGAGGCTTTGCTCAGCAGTGGGCATTTATAGGCTGTTGATGATGACTTTTTCTATTTTAAATACACCTTGAATCATATTTTAGCATGACATGCAAACTGATAAATTCGTTCTGAGACAAAATATCATAAAATATCTTACTTGGGGCATCCGTTTTTGTCAGTCAGTTGAATCTTGTTGGTACGAGGACCATCGTAGCTGTCGCTGTCATAAGCCCAACAATCGTGTATTTTAAGGCTGAATTGATTCCTTACATCCTTGAGGTACACAAGGATTGTCAAGTATTCTCCAATCTTGATCGAGTCCTTTAGTGGAGTGGTCTGAAAATTATTTTGTTAGTGATTCAGTAATTTGCTGTAAATACCAAACTAGATATTGGTTTGCAGAGAGGTTTTATCTAGAGTAAGTCAATTGAAGCGATGAGCCAGTTGTTTAATGATACATAGACAAAGTAGGATAAAATTTTTGTTTTTGATGTTCATTCTTCTAACTTTAAGCGATACTACATAAGAATTAAAGGAGACTTAAGGCAATTTCCTATTTTTTATAACAATCTTTTCTTAGAAATAGTAATCATAAAAATGTAATACTTACATTAGGAAAGACTCCTTTTTGGATGTCCATCCAGCATTCGACTCCTCCAGCAGGTCCTTCGACAGCAACTACATCAAGCATATCAACCATGAAAGGTTTTAGCTTAAGAGTGTGCTCTTCTCTGGACGTGACAACTCCAGTCGACACTTCCAGCGAAGTGCGGGCACATGACACCTGGAAAATTATAAGAGTAATGTTTGAAAGAAAGAAAAGAAACAAAAAACTTTAAAGAAAGAAAGAAAGAAAGAAAAAACATTTATTTAGCACCAGGCACGATGCAGCATAAATAAAATGTAAAAAAGACAATCAAGGTGTGACAGAGGAAGTAATAAAAATATAAGAGATAATTATATATATGTTATTCTATAAGTAATTACTGATAGATACATGTTCAAATCCCAAGTCTGCGGTGAAATGGGACCAGTTCAGCATGTGCAAGACAGGTCCTTGCGCTAGTATTCTACGCAACCGCGTGACTCGCGGACAAACAAGCCATCAATTAGACATCAATAAAATAAATAAATAAATTTTAATAACCATAAAGTTTGATTAGGCGGAAGATAAAAAACGGTCTGTTGTTGGATTTAGTTATTAGAGATAGAATTTTGACATCAGCTCCATATAAATATAATTATCAAAATTCTAGTTTGTAGTTGATAGACAATCAACAAATAGACAATCATGGCGTTGTTATGAATTAACGAGATAGGACCACAAAACATAGATATTTCTTTGGCATTAACGCCGTTAAAATTACGTACATACGCATTGTATCTATGTTTACCACCACAGATGGGGTCCAATGGGGTTGATGCTGATACGGAGCCGCAGAGAAGTTAACGGGTTACCGGGGCCACGGTACCTAATATTATCATACAGTAATCCAACTTCATACAAACGGACGAAACGCCAGCTATGCCTACGCGCCTCGATCGTGGCATGCATTCGGCTTGATAACAGTCGCCACTGTGCCGCGGTGACGAACGGGCTGTGTGTCATTTTTTAACATAAATCACGCGATTTTTTCACTAAAAATAAGTTCAAGTACCTACATATTTAATATGGCGAGTAGGATATATTGTGCTGTTTTCGGTTGTATTTTTTTGCAAATATTTTTGGTCGCAAATTTTCAAACAATATATGATAGCCCATTTGATTTTCAAACAATAACATTTTTTTTAAAATTAAGTCTACCAATCAAAAAGCAACACATTTTTATTGAACACTTCCTATTCCATATACAAAGTATTTTATTTGTTTGTGTAAAAAAGGACAAAACTAAATAGAAACAGAAAGTAGGCAAATGTAACTAAAATACTGGAGTCGGGCAGCGGGCAGTTTACGTACCGCGCAGCTGTAGGTATTTAACTCTGTCATGCGGCCGAGTTACACTACTGTATGATAATATTACCGTGCCGGGGCTCCGGCTCGAAGTGCAGGAGTAGGAACGGGGTGGTTTTTAGTCAGTAAGAGTTTTACACTCTCTCTCGCCTGGGTGAGGGGTCACTCGATGATTTTCCAACCCTTAAAAAAAATTGTATCTATGTTTATATGTTTACCTTGCGAGCGAAATCCTGAGGTCCTTGTAACAGGTCGTCAGCTTGGAATACCAGCACATTGTCGATGGTACCACATGCATTGCAGAGAGGACGGGAGCCACAGCCATTCAGTGGCACTCTGAACGAGTACCGAGACTGACTGTTGCCCAATGACACATATCTGAAATTAATAGAATATTTTTTTAAGAAACGAAGAACGAAATTCGTAAGTAGAGGGAGACCGAAGCCTTTACACACCAAATCATATTTCACAATTGACTAATTCCTGATTAGGTAGTACATTGGTAACATTAGAATAGTAATATAATGCAATAGATAATAAAATAAAATGGCTATCAATTCTGCCCGTAATTCATTGTTTGTACATGATGATATTGTGCTCCTTAGCACTTATTTACCTTTATTCCCACCCACCTACAGTGCCATAAAGAAACCACGTCAAGAGTCCCAGCACGTTTAAAAAAATCAGTCTTCAAGCCCATCTTTTTATAATCGGTTAAATCAATATACAAAAAAAATATGCGGTTTTCAGAAAAGTGTTTAGGAACCATCTCCTCATAATCAAATCGGTTAAGCCAATTGTGAGATAATCGTGCACAAACATACATCCAGATCAAACCGAGACCCACATTTTTATTAAATTCTATTATAAACAATACTTACTTGCAGTTCGGGTCATTTAAGTAACCCTTACTGTAAATGATGCCATCGAAAATGTCGGCGAATTCAACAGTGACGTCGATATAGTCGCCAGAGCATTGCACGTCGATATCAGGCGACAAGGGCGAGTCAGCTGCCCTTGACCCTCTTATAAAGGTGACCCCAGCATCCTCACTGCTTTCGTAGAAAGGTGAGAGCACATTGTCCCCGGACAATTCGTGGTTCAGCTCAGCCGCTGTGAGCGTTTGTTCATCTGAAACAGCTGTAGCGAGCGACAGCTACAGCGATGTTTTAGTTATATTTTTGTTTTAGTGACAAAATATTGTAATGTACCTCTAGGTAAATGGTTTGCATCCCCGAAGTAGTTCGAGTACGATTAGGTGACAACGTAAATGTTAATTATGTTATCAAGCTTATTTGTTAATTTTAAATTTGTAGACTTAGTTAAGCTATGTATGTGCTACTACTATAGAACTGAGATTGTTTATTGTTGAGTAGGCCGAAGAATTCAATTTCTATTCTATTTTAAGTGAATATTTTGTCTACCGCATTAAATATTACAAAGTGGCAACTATTCGTCGAATAGCCAAGGATCTCTGATGTCGTTAGTTAATATTATTATTATCATTATCATAAGATCTGTATTTATTGTTCGTGGCAGCACAATGACTTTTAACTCTCACGTACTTAATTTTGTCTCAGTACTCACTGCACAATATGAAGATTAGAAACACGCTCTACATAAAAACACACATTTTTTAAGACACATTATTATTTGGAAAATTTTAAACGATAGATACGTTTTTATAATTCTTGTTTAAAGTAACCTTGTCATTGTAATGGGAATTATTTTGGGTTATGTTTTAATTTAAGTAACATTTCGGTTATTGTCATCTACCTCTACATTAAAAGAACAGTTCTGATTGTACTGGAGCTTCTTGATGGTTTTTTTTCATACGAAAATATCTACAGACACTGAAACTAAAACCTTGTTTCACTGATATACAGACTTAACTATTCTTTCTATTATGACGAAAGTGTCTGTATTATAAGCAATGCTTTGACTTTAAGTTTCCTTTGCAGTACCATGATTTTTAGGCTTATTGCGCGGGTATTTGTTTTACCATAGTATTCCTCTTATAAGGCCCTTACTTATTACAAAGAGTCTTATAATACAACAGGTGAATGTACGATCGCCAGCAGGTCACCCAACATATCCTTTTCTATCAAATATCTTTAATACATTTCTCAACTTAATTATATTGATAAAAAGTCTAAAATCCAAACAATAAAATTGAGTAGATTAATTTCTGATGTCTGTACCTTGATGATATTACGTGGCTGTGTTACTTAATACGTTTATAGCATTGATATTGGAAGTCAAAGGGAAATTGTTTCACAATACTTTAAGAGAGTGAATGTGTGAACTTGTGACCTTAAGATTAGGTTATTGTCGGGTCAGAAGCAATCACTTGATTATCTATTCATTCATTAACCTGATTATATGTTATCGACTGTTGTCTTCTATGTGGAAAATTGTTTGGAAACTGTTGGGTTTGTTGTACTTTGTTTCTGTTGTTTGAAATATTTTTTATAATGCCATTGTTGTCCAGTTTATTAGGTTAAGTTAGTGATATATTAAATAATTTTATTATGTGTTTTAACAGTTCAAAATAAACTAGTAGTACCTTTAATTACAGATTACAGTCTAAAGAGATTTTTGTGAATATTATTAACTAACAATAATATTTTTAACTATTCTTGGTTTGTTTTACGTGATCGAAAAAGATTATATCTATTGTGATTTTTCAGAATTAATATCTTTCAGTCATTAAAGATATTTATAAGGTTGTAAAAAACGTTAAAAGCTAAACATTTGCAATGACTAGACACATACAAATTACATAGACAGATTACACTCATCACATTAATTGAGATCTTTCTGTGCGGTCTGACGATAGACAAGTAATAGAATAAGCAATGATGAATAAATTATAATGAAATTGATTATATAATGATCGATGGGAATATTATGGAGATGGGTACATACCTGCACGAGTGCAATCAGTGCCGCTATGCGCATGACAGCCGCTTCATGGGGCCCTGTAAATAAGAAAATAGTTTTTAATTAATCTTTACACAACAATATGTTTAACCTCGAAGATTTAAGCTTTGTTTTTGAAGAAGAAAATTATGAAATGACTTCTCCCGCCTTGTGTATAGCGGAGTGTCAGACGTGGTTTTTAGTCAATCGAAAACTCTCCAGAGCAGAAAAAGACAATCGAAGATTTTAATCTTAAAAAAAATCTTATAGTGCAGGCAATGTCCCTAGCAAAATTTAAGTCCTGATTCATAAGTACGGACACACATATTGTGACGTGTATATCTTGTTAGAACCTACTACAACATAATCAAAACCAAGCTAGCTTAAACAACCATTTTTCTTGAATTTCCGTTAATATCTTGTAACTAGTTTCTACTAGAGGCTTTGGCCGTGTTAAAAAGTAAACCTATGTGTTATTCTAGAGTATGATGCACCCCTGTTCCACATTTAGCCCTTTGAGTACCGTCATTATAGACACAATTAAAGAACAATAGGTTGTGGTCACCGGTGTCCTCGCTGTGTTTGACAGTTTAATACCGATTCCTTTATACATTTTGACGTGATTAAGTGATAACATTACACACAAACTTACTCATACAATTTCACATTTATATTATTAGATAGTAAGATACATAGAATTAACCACTTAACAAAGTATATGTATTTCTAAATAAGTAATCAATTACGAATCAAACAGTTAAAACGTGGTTACCTAATTTGACGGATTTTATCACAACAGTTAATGCCTGTTTTATCATTTTCAAAACATCATTCGTTTTAGTTAATTCTTCGTTTTTATTGCATAATATTTTTGTATAATTTTGTAAGTAGGTATATTGTCGAAATGCTCTCTAGTAAGAGATATAAGTCCCACTCTGCCGACTGATAGATGGACAATGTTTAATGATTTGTAAGCTCCCATGCCTTTTATATGACCTCTGTTACATAACCAACTATAAGTAGATGTGTAAGTGCATGTATAGGTATCTACGCTTCTTTTAAAGTCACAACCATTGATAGGTCTACTTTCAGTTTATGACCAAAATTAATAATCGATTTTAAACCAAAAAAGCAGATCGATTTAAGCTTTTGATAGAATTAATGTCAAAAAATCGATCTTAATATCGGTGCGATAACTTTGCTAAAAGAAAAACCATTTACAGTACCATTTACATTTTCTTATTAGTCTTGTGAACAGCATACAATCGAAACGTATTACCTACATGTACGCATAAAATGCCTACTTCATTAAACCTGTTTGGATATCTACCTGATTATCTTCTTGATCATCAAGTTAGACTTTAAGCAATTATGACTTAAAGCATATTGAGACGATAGTATCATCGTAAATAGTTTCTGACAGTGCACTGTTGGTCTATGAGCCTACTCTATGAATATAGGGGCCGGTATCTCCACGGTTGGCGATCGAAACGATATAAAGTATAGGTATCGTAAAATCACGGGTTACTCACGTGAATATACTGAGAAAAGCTCTACTAGTTTCGAACCATAGAGGAGTTCTTCCTCATGAGCAGTCTGGTGTTCAGTTTAGTGTTCAGTTTGGCGTTAGCGCCAACGCCAGCCAGTGAACTGCGTGACGTCGCCGCGACCGCACACGCCGCTCATGAGGAAGAACCTCTCTGTGGTTCGAAACTAGTAGAGCTTTTCTCAGTATATTCACGTCAGTAACTCGTGATTTTAGTTAATTTAGTATGCCTCACGATAGTTTTTATGAAAATATAGTTATCGTATCGGAAATTCCATTAACATAAATCAACCAATAAAATAATTAAATGAATTAACAAATCATTAATTCATAAGGCACAACCTACATTAAAGCATTCAATAAAATCATGATTAATAGCCCATTCAAAACCATGTCATAACACAATGCAATACGCTTCAAATTAAGAAACCATTAATAATGTCGATGACATTTTTTTGGCATTTCAATCAGTTACTGTAGTTATTGAATTTAAAAATGCATAGATTAGAGACTTTAGAGTAGACGGTCGCGAGTTTTATGCCTGGGTCAAGCAAAGGTTTGCTGGGGTATTTTTTTGTTTTTCGGAAATATCTCAGTTAATAATAAGAACGTCGAGATTGTATCCGGTGTGTGGCAATACGTCTTAGTAGATGCATGAAGAAAGAAGAGTCTAATGACCGTTTTCAGTAACTACTCCATAACTAATAATTTAACTAAAAGTTACTTAGCGTTCAGTGAGGTGTCATTTATAGATTGGTGAAAATTTTGTTTAGCTTAGGGGTTCCTTAAAATTTAAGAGGTTAAAAACGGGCATATGTAATTGTTATTTGTTCTTTTTTCAACTATAGGTTTGAAATTGTATTCGGTGTGTGGAAAGAGGTTAGTCCTATATTTTATGAGAATAGAACCATTGAGATACACTATTGAGTCATAATCACCCCTAAGCGAAACGAATCACTCGTATGACACAGGCATCTCTTTGTCACCTGTCAATTCATTCCTATCTTTTTATATATATATTCTGCTCAGCACAACAATCTGTTAACATTGAGCTGTTTAATGCTAAATAATAATATTTTTTGACGCTCACTAACGGGTTTGTTACTCTATAATTATATTTAACTCAATGAATGGAGCTGTTTAATATACTCGTATTGGTATCAACAGTAGAACAGTATTTATTCATAAAACTAAAATCAACACCTATGTTCCTAAAATGAAACTGATATCCAATTATACAGGTATAAGAAAAGTTAATTAATTCACACCACCAATAAATCATACTAAATCAAAAGATAAAGTAAAGTAAAGAATTGATTGTAGTGTAATCGATCACCGAAGGCGTTGTTCACAATACAAATTAGCGTTTCTTCAATGAGAACAGAAAAAAACTTGGGAAACGCCATTGTTACGGCCGATTAGTATTAATTACTGAGATAAAACCTATTGGTATTTCGTAGGAAACTAACACAGTTCAAACATTAGAAGAATCTTGTTTTGTACGAACGTATACAAAGTAACACACCTACTTTTGTTTTTAATTGGTTAATACTGGTTCGCGTTGCCATGGAAACTATATAGGAATTTTTTGTTGAAAAATAAATGTGACTGCCTCGTTGGCCGAGTGGTCGCAAGTGCGACTACTATACGGGTAAAGTATTGCTGGGTTTTTTAGAAATTCTCAGTAGTAGCACGGAGCCTGGAATTGTGTCCGGTATATGGCAATAGGCTCACCCTCTATTACATGGGACTCATAACATAAATAGTGAAAAGTGCGTGTTACATCGTAGAGTGGTATAATATATACCTCTGCTTACTCCTTAGGGAATAAAAGGTGTGATGTTATGTTATGTTATAAATGTCTTAAGTAGGTATGGATTTATTATGATGTAAAGAATAAATAAATTAATAATATATTAATTTCTTCAGATAGTTACGATCGCCTAAACTTAATGATATCCATTTTCATTTTTTTCTCTTAATATGAAGTTAATATGAGGTAAAGTAAAAAACAAAAGACTAAAAATGTGAAAATAAGAAACAAGAGTAAAAAAATATCTCTTTGCATTATTTAGATATAAATATATTAGTACATCAAATAATGTAGAAGTTCTTTTTATTAATTATTTTTTACTCTTGTTATTACATGTAACAGCGTACAAAAATTATTCAATGTATATAATTATATAAAGCGTTTGTCAGTTTATAAAAAAACATGAAAAAATCCAGGATAATTTAATCAAAGAAGCCTATGTCGAAATGTGACGCGGAAATCCTTCAGTCGCGAGTTCACAAGACTGACCTCACGAATAAGAGGTAACCTCACAATTAAAGCCTCTTCGTGACTTACCACTTCACCTATAAACAATATTATAAATAGCCTTCTATGAACGTAGATTCAATAATAGTAAACTATGATAATTGAGATGTTATTTTTTGTCATATTACTATTGTATTCCGATTCTTTTTTTAACACGGTTTTAGATAATAGACGTTTTTTATTTGTGTTTTCGACTCCTGGAATTTTAAGGAACGGATCAGTTAATCTAGTCGGATGATCTAGATATCTTTAGAATTTATGTAATGATCAACAGTGATCGTTTTGTAACTATGTTATTTTCATAGTAATATCTTTTTTGTACTGATATATAATTGGGGTTCTTTATTGCTATTATACCATTTGGTCCTCGTGGTCGTTAACCTACCCGTTGGCTAGATGCTGGGAAAAACTTCACCGGCCTGACAGTTCCACAAGCCATAAAGACCGCAGATATAACAGGGGCGCTTAGAGGAGGATTGTGCATCAAGTGACAAGACGCGACCTTCAGTAATGAAGAGAACGACTTAGAAGAATAACCCATTAAAGTTTATCATTGTATTAAATTTAATTGAAATGCGATACAACATTGATTTGCAAACATAGAATAGTTTTTATTACTGAAACCTCACGAGACGGGCACTGTACGGGTAAAACCTCTGTGGAGTTGTTTATTTTTGAAACCATGAAAATAAATTCATTCCTCAATAAATATAGCCTAGGTACTGATTCGATTGAGGCGGAGCGCGTGAGGGAACGAACCTCCTCACGAGCCGGCCGTCGCGAGAGACACTCAGGGCATCGGGGATCTCGAGACGATCTCCGGCCACCGTAAGCACGGGCCTGCGGACGGCGAGCATGGGTGACTCGCCGCCCGACCAGAACCAGGCCCGAGCGTACGGCGCGTCGCGTTCCGCGCGCGCCTCAAGGAGCCATCAGACCACCACAGATGGGGCCTAACAAGGCTGATGCCGATACGGAGCCGCGGAAGACTTAACGGGTTGCCGGGGCTCCGGCTCGAAGTGCAGGAGTAGGAACGGGGTGGTTTTTAGTCAGTAAGAGTCTGACACTCCCTCCCGCCTCACCCAGGCGGGAGAAGTCATTGGATGATTTTCCCCCCTCAAAAAAAAAAAAAGGTACTGATTCGATTGTGATGATATTTGTTACAGTCGTACA